CTACACGAAAGTGAAAGTGAAAATTGGATACGCTTCTCACACACTTTTATCGACCCTCTATCTCTCGCTATCCATCTAAAGGGAAAAAACCCCAGCTCTACACGAAAGTGAAAGTGAAAATTGGATACGCTTCTCACACACTTTTATCGACTGCTGTTGGGTAGTGCCTTGAGAACGTTCGCCCTTTGAAATCATGGGAAATAACAAGTCGAGAATGACATCGGTAAGCAAATTTTTACGTCGCAAATAGTATTTCAGAGCATGATATTTTGGTGCTATTTTGATCATTTCAAGATAGCAGATTGCATGCCACCGACGGTTATTTTGGTTCTTGTCGGCTTTAGACAGAGGTCACAGCAATTTATTTGCGCATTGGAATTTATACATTCTCTGACAATGGTGAAAATTAACAGTAAGCTTTATGTGATCCATGAGAACTAGGGATTGACAATTCCTCGGGTCCCTATAAATATTTAGCCACAACAAACGATTTTTGCAAAACTTAAACTTATGACAGTCAGTTCCGAATGAATCTAAGCTCTAATGTTTACAGCCAAACCTTAGAGACATAGCGTGACATATTTTCTTCAGTGTTTGGGTCGCGGTTGAGTGATCCAAGCGAGTCCGCCATAAAATGTCTAAGATGAAGACCAGAAAAAGGTTTAAAACGCATTAAGTCCATCCTTTTATTTTTGTTAGGTCGTGTTTACTGCGGCATCCTTTATCTTCCACTTTTCTAACCTCAACTCCCAGAACAGGAGATGTGATTTTGTTAACAAGTATTGTGACTTCTCTTGGATAATCCTGAAATCAGGAAGTAAGACCCGGTTGAAAATGAGCATTCATCATTAAAATATGTCGAATAGCAGCCACACTGTTTAGAAATGCCATAATTTTTAGTCTTTCCCTATTTGCCTATCTTGCCTAAACTTTTCCTCTTCGTTCATTCAACTGCATCTAATACTGCGCTGATGTTAGAATCAACTCTAGGCGTATAGTTGCCCTAAATTAAATGCGACATTGAGCGGTCAATAACATTCACGCAAGGTACTACCTTAAGAAATTCAAGAAAGTTTGGAATTTTTACAAGTGCTCGCTTCCTTTTGGTTCGCATTCTCCCCAATCACCGTTCACCCTCAAAAAACTATCCAAGTTCCCCTTTAACTGAACCAGAAAGAGGCGAAAAGCAACATAGGGAACCTTGATCGATAGAATCTCAGTGCCCCTCTTTAATAAGCGTGTCTAACTCAGCACCACTCCTAATGACGTAAACTTTATGGAATCGGTCAAAATGAAAAATGGTGCATTTAACTTAGCGCTACTGTCAACACAACTTGATTTCTAGATCGGAGCGAAAACTGAAAAACGTAGTATATTCTAATCCAGACCGAAGCAAATTTCTTTCGTCTCACTGGGAGCTGCTCGCTTTAGTTTAACTTGCTTGGCAACTTTCACAAAAAAATTTAATACTTACTAGAGCCATCCTCGTATTTCCAAGTGCGTTACCCATGATGCGTCTTCGTAGCTTGGGGAGAAGAAATTGTTGAGGTTGTTACTACGACATTTCCCTGTTTCAATGGCGCTTTGCAGACAGTTTCGACAGTTCCACCGCATGTAGAGAGGGTGTTGTGCTGGGTAAAAGTCTCATCTGTCAGTCCACTCTTTATCTGGCTTTCGAATTGCAAGGGTTTTTCCCTCGCATTTTTGCAATTGAGCTCACTTGCATTTTGTAGCCAATGAAACATTAATTTTAGGCAATGCTCGTGCTTTCGATTTTCATGGGTTTTTTACCGAGCTTTGTTCCAACGTAATTTGGATTTTTCTCGCTTTCAAAATTCCGAGACAGTGTTTACTGTGTGGGCGACCTATGTACTCAGCTTTCTTTTTAATGATCAAGGGGTTTTTCCCTTGTTTTTTTCGATGTTATTTTTCCCATTTCTCAGCCAATGAAAAATTTTGTTTTTATGACCAATTGTCCATCGTCACCTAGCAACCCTGACATCTGTTTGATCAAGGATTATATTTCACGCATTTAGCTAAAGGGAAAAAGCCCTCAGATAAACCGGTGAAAGTGAAAATGAAAAGGGAAGCCTCCTTCAAACGGTTACATCATCTCGTGTCGGACAAAACTGAGAAATTACCTAGAGAACGTTCGCTCCTTGGGTCAACCAATCATACTCACAAACCATGGGAAATAACAAGTCGAGAATGACATCGGTAAGGAAATGTCTAGTTTCGAAATAGTACTTTAAAGTATGAAATTTTGGTCTTGATTTGAGAATTTCGTGATTGATTACAAGCAGGCAACGGCTTTCTCTTGGTTCTCGGGGGCTTTAGACAGAGGTCACAGAAATTAATTTGCGTCATGTGTTTTGTACATTGAAGAAATCTTTTACTAAGAATTGACAATTCCTCGGGCTCTTATATACCTAGCTATAGCAAAAGATTTTTGAAAAAACTAGATATATTTATAGTCTGTTCAAATTGTAACTTAGCTCCAGTCAGTCATAGTCAAACCTTGAAAATGACAGAAGTAGTAGCCTGACATATTTTCTTCAGTATTTGGGTCGCTGTCGAGTAATCCAAGCGAATCCGCAATAGGATGAAGACAGGAAATCTTGTGGACCGTGCACAAACTGTCGACTTGATAGCAAAGAAGCATATGATCGAAAGAAGATTTAGAAAATTTTGAAATACCTCGTGATTGCTAACTAGCTCTTATAAAATTTTTTAAGATGGAGATTAAAAAATTAATTAGTTGTGATTGCGAAGGTGTTGACAATGCGCCGCTCAATCTGAAGGCACACTGCACTGAGATGATTGCAGCCAAGCCAAATTGAAATATCATCTCCAAATGATAAACGGAGGAAGCAAACTGGCTAAAATATATCCTGCTAGCATAGTTTTTAGGTGAAAACTGCCAATTTTTGATTGCAGAAGGCCTGAAAATGGGTGTAGAAAATGGTGTTTTGAAATACGTATTACATCGTGACTGATATCCACAACAGACTTGGGGTTGGGGAGGTTTTCCTTGGAATTCGAGGTAACGTCATACCGCCCAGTTCTTAAATACTGACCCTAAGGATGATGACAATGATGATAGCGATATAGTGCTTCCTTTTGGATCACATACAATGACATTCCATTTACTTTGCTTTTAAGGATTACCCAAGTAACATGATCTTCCACGTTAAGAAGATTTCGTCGACGTTCCTTGGAAGAGAGATCACCAAACGATGTGGAAACGAAGGACAGCATAACGATCTCGAGGAAAAGGACAAAACAACCTTGAAATTTTTGCAAGCTGCCATCTCGTATATCTCAGTGGCAACCAACATGGGAGCAGATCTTTCAAATGCTGCATTCATTTTTTCACAACCAGGAAAAGAGTTTGTTATTCAGGCTGGAAATGGTGACTGGGAGTTCTTTTTTTCAGAAGATCTAAAAAACGCAATTCATGGCCACTGTGTTCGTAAGGCTTCCCGAGGTTTCTGGAAGAGCTGCTCTTCCAGAAACAGAACAGCCAATCGAGACGGTAGAGCAGCACCAGGACGAATAAATGGTTTGCTGGCCCTGCCGTCTGCTGCCTAGAAAAATCTCTTTCCTTCCACATCTCGACGGAGAAATAGATGAAAATAAGGAAATAGACAGATTTTGTTACCAGTTTGATACTATGGGTGACAAATAACTCCATAATCTATCAGACAATTTGAGTTTGTTACGTATCAAAATTTATTCGATTTTATCCCGTTGTGAGACATATATCCATAGCCTTTGGCTATTTGATTAATATGTGCACCTTTTTTTTTTTCTAACTGAGTCTCTATCACAGTTACTTTGCGTTTCTTGATATACCAAAGTTAAAATCAAAAACACAGTGTCAAAAGAACAGAAGGTAACAAAGGATAGGAAATCAACTAAAACGATTTTTTGTTTTGAATTCCATACAGTCATTCTACTGTTTGATATTGCATTAATTTAGTAAGGAGAAATTCTGTCTTTGTCACTCATAAGAGTTAAAGGGTTAAGTAAGAAAAATATTAGAACCATGCATCATTGCATACAGGGATTTTCTCCAAATTTATTGCAATGAATAATCAAATAAAGTGGAATAAACAATATAAAAATATGTTTACGTTTCTCCTTTTTGCTTGAAGACTTTCTTCATTTTTATTTCGACTTTATCAAGTCTCGTAGTTGGGTGTCTGGATAACTTTTTTAGTTGTCCATTGTTTAACCCTCTGTAAAGATACAATGACGGGGGAAACTAGCTTCTGAGAGGACCCACACAATCAGGAGACACCAAGACTCTGAGTTCTCTTCTTCTTTATTACATTTTCTATAGCTAACCCAATTGTCTCTCTTTTACTCGCCCTAATGCACGCTCTTAAGTACCCTAATAGTAGGCATGTCATCACAACACTCTCTTTTTCCATAGAGGCCTTTTCAAAGCGAGGTCGCGTCCAAAATCTCCCTGTATTTACTTAACAGCACTCAACAATTTAATCTACAAGAGCAGCTTTCAGAACATAGCAATCCAGCGAGAACTAAGAAGGCAACTTCCGTTCTGCATATCGCAAAGAAATTAACTAAACCGGTACCCTTGGCTAGAGTGTTTTGCGCTCTAAAATGCACGAACAAATGCGACAAAACACCAATATTTAGCTCTAAAGGATCACTCTTAAGCAGGCATTAAGGCCCTGAGGACTACTCCAGCAACAGACAATAACGAGGCGATACAAGAAAAACCAGATGTGACTTTGTTCCAGAAGTACATCAGCCAGGGTCTGCGGGCACATTGACCTTTTATGTCGCCGATGTTGTCCTCGGAAAAGTAATACTCCCAGTCACCCTTTCCTGCGATAACAACAAACTGCCTGCCTGGATGGGTAAATATGAAAGCGGCATTTTCAAAATCAGCTCCATCTTCTTTTGCCAGAGGTATGAAATGGATGGCCGCTTTTAGAAATTTGATACTTGCTCGGTCGTGTTCACTGAGACGTCCCTTGTTGCGTATTTTATCGATCTCTTCTCCAAGAGGAATCGAGGTTATTTTCTTCACATGAATTCTAAGGTCTTCTGGATAGTCCTAAAATGATATTGATGTTATCAATATTGGGAGAAAGTTGACGAGAGCAAAAGAAAAAAAACCCGCAACTAAATCAATCCACATGTATCGACAGAATCGGGAGTAGAACTCAGGCCACAACTACATGTGAGTAGGCAAGCGCTCCCACTCCCCTCAGCAAGGTTCTTAGTAACTCTCCTATCCCCCCCCCCCCAAACCCTTAGAACGTTTCCGACGAATATTCAAGGTAGTGCGGATTGCGAATCGTATAAGTATGCTGGACTGGCTTGTAACGCAGCTCCGTGGTTCAGCCTTTAACTCCCATGAGTGACCAAGACAGAATTTCTCCTTACTATATCCATACAGTATCATGCAGACAAGTGACGAGAATGAATCGAATGATTACAAATTGATTCGATACCAAATTCTCCAAACTAACATAATGAGAATCGTTTGGCATACAGTAAGGAAAATTACTAATGAGACCTTGGGAGTTAAAGGGTGAAGGCACCGTAAGAAGGTCTTACGTGAAAAATCTGAACTGATTCTCGAATTATTTTTTCAAGTTCCCAGCTACTTTTTCGTTTTTATATAAAATTCAAATTCAAGTTTAATCGAAGGATCTGGCATCGATCGCACATGATGTTGAGTGCATGAACTCGGTAAAACGGAAAACTTCCCTTCACTTTCAGGAAGGTATTGACGACAGTTTAATATCGAAACTCGTATCGACCAAGTCACCTAAAGCTACAGAGGATTCATTGAGACGATGGGGCTTAGTTTAAATCTCTTTGGGCCTCTATAAATCAATCTCAGTTTCGAAAAGACGACGAGAATTTAACTTACGGAAGAGGATAAATCCAATTCGAAAGGGACAAATTTCTTTGAGTTTCATCAATATATTATTTAAAGTTTGATCTCTTAATCGGAGCCTAAGACAGAGTTATACTTACTGGTAATATTCTAGCGTTGCCAAAGAAATTTCCCATAGCCGTGTCCAGTTAACTCATGACAAATAGCTCGGCCAAATCCTTGCGAGAGAAGCTGTCCGTAGTTTATGGAGTCAAGTCAGACAACCTTAACACTACTGAGGCAGCTAGCGTGTTTGCCTCTTTTGTGGTTATCAGGGTTTTTCCCCATCATAATTGCTTTCAATTTTGATTGGCCATGGAAAATTTTGTTTTGATGACTTATTGTCAGGTGACATTCCTAACCACGCAAAGAAGACAAAAAATGTCAAAGTTCAGGCGTAAGGGAAAATTCCCAGCATGTGATAAATTTATTTTGAAAAAAGAAATCTGCTAATGAAATATTTTCGAGGCGTTTGGAAAGCGCATAACTTAAAATGAATTTCTGTCAGAATTCCTATATAAAGTGTTCGGTGCAACTATCAAGAAACATAAGCAGGAGCCTTCCGGCGCCTGCATCTCTCGGGTTTTTTCCCTAATGCGGGTTCTCCAATGAAACAAAGGACAAAAGATGACTCATTATCAGGGGGGTTTCCCTTCTATGCAAGGAACACATAGTATTCATCAATCCATATCGGGTTCTCCATTAGGGAAAATTCCCCGCAACGAAAGAGCGATAAATAAAGCGAACAACTTATTCGGCTCTATACTTAAAAACTACTCGGCCTTGTGCGGCAAGATTGGGAAATGTCTTCCACTAAATATTTAGTAAACCTTTTCCTTCCCTGAGCGAGCTGGAATAAAGTAAGACGATGGGAAGTAACAATTCAAGAATGACATTGGTAAGAAAATTTGCATTTTAGTCAGACTTAGAGGTTACAGACTTACGATCGTATTGACTTCAAAGGCCGTGTTTTTCATATTTTTTCGGACTACAAGAGGACACATAGTTACTAACACATCGTTAGAGCAAGATTTATCACAACAGGACCTTTAAAAGCGAGATTACAGCATATAAACTGTGAAAATGTAAAGGCAAATTTTTAAAGCTACCGTCGCATATGACATAATCTGACATTTTACTGATGAATAGCGAATCTACTGGTGAATCTAATATTTGGTTTAAATGTATTCGAGTAGTCTCTGAAGACGGTTGTTTGTAAGGGAGGCAGGGGAAGGGAAACACATTTCTCTTTCGGGAAATTTCGATATTCAAAAACCTTAGAAATACGACTTCTGAAATTTTAAGGCAAACTGAGAGCGTTTTTTGATGTTTCATTATTTTTACAAAAAATATTCTATATTTCATCAAAATGATGCCAGTTTAGTTAAAGGAGCGATGATTATGTATTCACATAAAACACTGTATTCGAAAACCTTTGAAATATCATGCTGCATTTTAAATGTTATGTTTGAATTTTGTGTTTAAACAAAAATTACAACAAGACACAATTTTCAGGGATGCTATCTCGCAGAATGCTGAGCCTTGCATCGAAATTCATAAGCTTTTTTCATTGAATGGTCATCAGTGTCAAGCCCGACATGCAAGCTTTCAGTGTCATGGCGGTTCGTATACATCTTTTTACGGGCCACAAACTACTGTTTCTCGCAATTAGAGCAGTTCGTGGCAGTGTGTATCATTAAATAGCTATACAGTTCAATTAACGAGTCCGACGAACTTATGAGAAATGTTTATCCGTCTATGTATGCAGCTACTTACTTTAACAGTTCAAGAGAGCCCCAAAGCATTCTTTAAAGATGTAACTCCTCCGACAATTGAAAGTGTAGATGACAAGTACTCGGGGATTTTATAAAAAGTGAATTTGATCTCGTCTCAAACAGTACTTGAAAGGCTGCGGTCACATCGACCGATTATAATCCTAACATAATCCTAAGGGTTGTAAAGCTGGGGGAAGATGGCGTCAGAGTTTCCTGAGAATCTTGCAAGCTACTGAAAGCATTTTTATTCGCTTTTTACATTCCAGGATTACCCAAGCAACATGATTGTTAGAGTTGATAAAATATCATCAACAGTTCTCGGAAAAGAGATCGTAAAGCGATGCGGAATCGAAGGACAGCATGGAAATCTCAATGAAGATGACCAGACAACCTTAAAAT